CCCCAAAACCCCAAAACCCCAAAACCCCAAAAACTTTGGATAAATTGAAATGTATAATATTGATGTGAAATGTTCTCTGATATATTATAAAATATCAATATCTTATTTAATTGTGTATTATATTTATTTTCTTGAATTTATTTATTGAGGAATGGCTGAAACAGAGTAAAGATATCATTTTAATACAATTAAGTAATTCAATTTATAGTGTTACACTTGGACTTAATCAGAAGTAAATGAGTTTAGGCGGTTTAAGCTAGTTAATGTATATAATCTCGATTTATAATGAAATGATAGGGCTTAGAGTTTTTAAATGAATGATACTTTGAGATCAGTCTTAGACAATAAAGACTAGATTATCATTAGTCTACAGCAATAGATTCATAAGTTTAAAAGGAATATTGATTTAACTAAGCAAATGCGACAACAAAATGAAAAGGATACAGAGAACAAGGAACGGGAGAATCAAAGTATAAGGAAAAAAATAGATTAAATAAGAAGTTTAGCAGACTCTAAAAAGTAGGATCCCGTAAAGCAGCATAAAATCTAGCTGCTCAAAGGTTAAGTTGAAATAAAAAGTTCAGATGTAAGTTAAATTAGGACTCAAGTAGATTCTATGAGAGATAGACTAGGCAAAGTAAAAGAGTAGAACATTAAACTGGAGAATATAAAGCAAGGTTATTAGAATAGAATTGAGAAGCATACGCTTGACTAAGAAGATTAAGATTACCTTGAGAATAAGCTACATTAGAGTTCACTATAGATTAAAAGTTTGCGGGAATAGTAGGATTAATTACTTAAAAAGATGTAGAAAAGGTAAAGCAATGGTCAAGTATCGTAAGATGCTGAAGGAGTTAGCAGTGTCATATAAAATGTAAAAAGGCTCAATGAATGTGAAAGATCATCTGTAGAAATCAGTAGAACGATGAAATCATAAAATCAAAAGATTGGGGAATTACTTGAAAAATCATATAATTTGCTTGCTTAAAACAAAGGATTACAAGATAAAATGATATACACAATTGGCTTACAAAGAGGAGGCTCAAGAGGTAGCATTGGATTTCTTATTAGATACTTCTTAAATGATCTGAAGATCTAGAGATATATCCAGGAACTATTAGGTATCTAGTCCCATCATACAGATAAAGTTAGAAGCTTTTATGATTAGAAAGAACGATTAGCTAAAAAGAGTTTCGACAACATAAATGAGAATGATATCGAGGAATCTATGCAAGTTAATTCTGACACAGAATCTCATATTATGAAGACTAAGAATGGAATAAACGAATACTAGCTTTAACTACTAAAGACTTAAAGTCATGTTGAAAATCTAGTAGACAAGCTCAATCTAAAACTATAGAAAGAGATTTATGAAAGACTAAGATTAGTTGAGCAAGACAATAATTAAGGCAGCAGAAAGTTGGATATCATTAATGATAGCCTACTTAAGTTCAATAGAGAATTAAACAGGCTCATTAATATCAGCAGACTTTAATACAGAAGAGAGGATTTCTAGGATATGCTAAAAACGGTTGAGAAGTTTAATAATGAATGCCTTGAGATTCAAGCTAACCTCTATATCAATAGACTAGTCATCGATAAATCTAAAAACTAAATTCAAGATGTCGGGGGCAAAGATATTAATAAATTTGAGAAAATACTGAAGCTTATATCTGGATACCAAAAATCTTTGCTTTTAGATGAGTTCAGAATCTATGAGCTAGAAAGAAATGTCAAGGATTAGTAGATTAAATTTAACGAACTTGTCGGCAATATAAGTGAGGAGACTCATTAAAACTTACTAAATTAAATAAATGAGAAGTAAAAATAAGCTTAAGAACTTTAACAAAGAGACAGAGAGCTATTTAATGTAATTGAGGGGAGAAAGAGTGATCTCAGTAGCATTAGAAATCAAATTAATGACAATGATTACGAGCTTCAGAATATTTTGGTAAGTCAATCCTAGATTTCATTTTTATAGCAAAATAACTAATTAAGTCTCCTAGATATTGGAGAAGGAGAGGAAATGGCTTAAATATCATAAAGACAAATATCTTAAAAGACTGACAGGATCAAGCTTTAATTCAGCAGAATGAGCGGAGTTAACTTAAATACCTTTGAATATGCTAGTGATTTACTAGAACAGCTTGATCACATAGACACTTATATAGCTGGAACAGAGCAGAAGATTTTTGAAGGGTTTTAGAAAGCCTAAAACTTGGACTAAAACTTAAAAGAGATGGAGAGGAAACTTAGAAATCAAAGAATGAATGAATGTGAAAGCCAACTAAAAATTGCAAATGACTATATTGAGAGACTGAAGAAAATATTAGATAAGAATTCTACTACAGTTTCAGTTATCTTAAGGGATTAGAACTTACTGCTTACAAGTGATATTGTGAATGATCTTGAAAAGAAAAAGGAGATTTCAATATTTGGAATGGATCTTGAGAAGAAGGAAAAACTCATAAAGTAACAATTTGAGTAGATAGAAACACTGAGAACATAATATGAGTAACTTGAAAGAGATTTCTAATAAAAGATGAGAGAAAAGGGCAGCTCAAACTCAATTAATGAACAAGGAGTCAGAAATAATGATGGGAGAGAGTATCAAAATATTAAGAAAGAAGCTGATAAAATTGTAGAAGAGGTTAAAAAGCTCATAACAGTGGCTGATGGAGAAATTAGTGATGATATCAGTCATTGTAAAGAAGTTAATATCAAGATGATCAATAAATATCGTATTAAAAGAGAGAGGTACCTACAGTGTATCGAGTTAAGATCTCAAAAATAAGATGACTTCAAGGAGCTTAAAAAGAAAATTTAAGCAATTTAATTAAGGCAATCTTAATTAGAATAGCAAATACAATAATTAGGGGTTTCAAGATCTAATCCCTTTGCTGAGAACATTCTCAAATATATGCAGCTTATTGACAGAGGTAAAGAAATCCTCCTACAGTTAGATAAGAAAATTGACTATGGAGTGTAAATGATTAGGAATGAGGCAGGAGATCTTGATAATTTAGACTAAAGAGTGGTTAAGTCAGTAGTTTTAGATGATATTTACAAAATTTTGAACGAAATTAAGACAAATAGTGAGTCACTCGATGATTAGATTGATAAAATTGAACTTTAACTCAAGCAAATGGAAAAAGAAATTGAATCATTTATTATCAAGTCAAGAAGCTCTAGTTTATTTGACTTAGAGTCGATAATGAAGAAACTTGAGTCAAATCTTGAAAAACTGGCATTGAAAGTATAATCTACAGAGAAAGGATGTAAAGATTTCAAATTTGATGTTGAAGAAAATTAGTCTCATTTCGATAACAAAGATTCTCTGCTAATTTAGGTGGAGAGCTTTATTTCATAAGTTGATCAGATTGAGATTAAGAAGGACTCCTTCCAAAGCTAACTTGATCTTATGAAATCAAGATTTGCACTCTATGATAAGAGAAACTTTTCATTTGATGACTCATTCCAGTTAACTAAAGATGCAGCTAACATTGAGGAACTGGTTCAATTTGAAATCAAGAAACTAGAAGATATTCACAATAAATTACAGTAACTTTAGTACAATTTCCAGGAGAAGACTAAATTTGAAACAGAAAGATAAAAACTACTAAAGTAAGCGAAGGACTCTCTTAAAAATAACTAAGAGCTATTATCATTGTTGAAGTAGCTTCTTATACATGATTAAGAAAAAGTAGAAGATTTTGAAGTTATTTATAAATCCATGATCAACAGCGAGGACTATCAGGTAAAGAGACCTATAGTTGAAAAGAAATAAAGAAGGATAGCTTAACTTAGGTCAGATTGTCTAAGAGTACAAGAGGACAGAGACTATTTGATTAAAAGACTTGAAAATGAAAATGCCTTTAATGAGAAGTACATTAATGGATGCAAAGATTTTGATGAACTGAAAAGAATCATATAAGACAATGAAAAATGCAACACTACACTTATGAATGATGTCAAAGACCTAAATGATATGAAAAAGAGCTTGGATAAAAAGAGAAAAAAGTTAGCTGATGCTGAGATTAGACAGCTATCTAATAAGAGAAGGTCAGAGATAGAAATTATTAATCAGACACTTTAGTAGTAAATCTTGAAGTTACACTCATTTGAACAGAGCGTTTTAGATCGTGAGAGAGATCTTGACTCATCATTCTCACCAGAAAAATAAAGTACTCTGAATAGAACTATTGAATGGATGAAATAAACTTTATCAGAATTCAAAAGATCATACGATGGAGTTGAAGATACTCTAAGGAATATTAATGCTGAAATCTCAACTAAAGATCTTGAATAAAATGAACCATTAAGTAACTTGGCAAGAGAAATAGACAGACTTAAGAAAGTAACTGTTGATGTGAAAATTTTGAACATTGAAATAGAAAAAATTCAGATTGAAATCTTAGCAAAAAGCACTATGTTGAGTAGTATGGATACTGAAAAAAGGCTTAAGAGTCTTTTGAAATAGGTTAGTCACGCTTAGGATAATTGTGACTAGTCAAAAGAGGCATTAATGAAGATTTAAGAAATCTCAAAGTCATATGATGGCTATACATCAGGGGCTGAGGATGAAGAGTTCTTTGTAGTATTGCATTCTGAATCTAGAGATTAACTATCAGAATTCAATCTGTAGACAAAGACATTTTAAGATTTAGCATCTGAAGTAAATAAGCTAATTAGATCAGTAGAATAGAGAAAGCTTGAATGCGGTGGAAACCTTTAAAATTCAGATGTTGAAGAGATCAATGAGAAGATAGCCAGAATCGAGGCAAAAATAAATAAACTAATCAAAGAGAGGTAGGAGATTGAGGAAAATGCTTTTGATAACAGGGACAAATTGGCTTGGCATGATGTAGACTAAAAGCTAAGCAGGAGAAAACAAGAAGCTGAGGAACTTTCAAGAATAATAAATGAGATTAATACTGATAACTAAGATCTGAGAAACAAAATTATAGATGAAATTAATTCATGCCAATTAGATGACAAATACAACAAATACCTCTAAAAATTGGAAGAGTAAATTGTTAATACAGAGACTATTGAAGAGAAAGCATCAGAGATTAACAAGAGAAAGATAGATCTTGACTTTGATATTGATCAGGCGATGTAAGATCTTGGTAATAACTAGAAGGATATCAATTAAAGATTGGAATCACTAGAAACTAATCTAATTCTGAAAAAGAGAATCTAAGATACTCTCAGATCAATATCTCAGCTTCATACATTGGTAAAGCAAGTATATAATGCAGCAAATGAGACATTCAAAAAGAAGCCAAAAGAATAGCCATTTAAGCCTCCTTCTAATGCAGATGAAATAGACTTAATGCTTGCTGAGATGCTCTAAAAATTAGGAATTAATGTATCAATCAAGAAACTTGGAGGAGGTTACTACATGTTTGGAAGTAAGAAAATCTTTTGTAAGATCATTAATGGAAAGCTTGTGGTCAGAGTAGGAGGTGGATATATGGGAATAGAAGACTTCATTTTGTAATATGGATAGTAGGAAGCAGACAAACTCTAAAACAATGCAAATATTGAAGCCAAATTAATTGAAAGCTAATAATAATCAATGGGAAATAGAGTGGGAAGCTCAATAGCTTTAAAGATACCTAGTTCTAAGGTCTCCACAAATGTCATTGGATCTCCAGCATCATACAAGGAGCGTCATGAAGAAACCTTTGGTCATGTTAATCATTCGTCTGTCCCTCATTCTCAGATGAATAAAAATAATTCAAAAACACAGTTTTAAACCAACTAGGGTTTCTCTTCTCTAGTAACAGCCAAGAAAGTTTTCAATAACTTATCAAAAAGAAAGGAATGAGCTACTTATGCCAGATAGATTCAGATTAATGAGATTTGATATTTTTATTTTAATCTTAATTTCATAAAATTCATCATATTATTTAGTCGGCGGGGTTTTGGGGTTTTGG